AGTATTGGTGAGACTTAAGGGGATGGTATTATTGAGAACAAGTTACACTCGTAAGAAAATGAGCAAGAGAACAGAGGATCATGAAGGATGCATGAGGAAAGCAGTGAAAGCATCTGCAGGGAATGAAACCATCTAAAGGAATATTCCAATAGATTAAAACATGTGGCGATGATCGAGAAAACATTGGATTCGTGGTCTTTTTGAGCTAGATGATATGACACATGTCTTTATTCTTTGAGGAGAAGATCTTAGCCATCATATTTATATTTCGAGGATGTAGATGACAATCTGAAGGGGTATGTAAGATAAATGGAATTAGAATTTTTTGGAACCCGACAGATGCATTTCTACTGCTTACACTCTGATTGGATGACTTGTAGGAGGGTTCATTAATGTCAGGTACGGTCAGGTATGTGTTAATATTTAAATTTAACCATATTTGAATGATGGTTTATTAATGTCTGATAATCGCAGTTATTTTTGTTTTGATTGATAAGATGATATAGTTGTATATTTGAACAAATTTCTTATTTTGCCCATAGTTTATTGTATATAGTATAAATGAAAAATAAAAGGAAAAAAATTAAAAAAATATATAATACTAATATAGAGATATATAAATATAAATAATTAAATATATACATATATATAAAATTAAAGAGATATATATATATATAATTAAAATATTATATACATATATAATATATAAGTAAAAACATAAATACATATATATATGATAAAATATATATATATCTAAGTATATTATATACATATATTCATATATAATTAAATAATTAAATACATATATACATATATAATAAAATATATAAATATATATATAATTAAAAATAGAAATATATGAATTTAATTGAATATATAAATACATATTTATAATAAAATATATATATTTAAATATATATATATAATATTTTGAAAAGAAGAAAAAAAAATATAAGAAGAAATGTCAGGTAGAAAAATTTAAGGAGGAAAGTAATATTGTAAATAATAAAAAACATTAAGGATATAAAGAGGAAAAATTATTAAATCATCATAAAACTACTGAATTAGTGATTTGAAAATATGAAAAAAATCATGGCTCAACCACTAAAAAACTATATTATATGTTTAAAAATGCAAACAAAAAAAAAATCATGAAAAAATCATATCATCATTATTGAATCATCATCCAAACAATGCTTTAGTGTTCTTGTGAACTTGGCTCACGGGTTTTCCGCAAAATAGGATAAATTAAGAGTAATTTTGGTCATCTTCTTTGTATATAATCACAAACTTTCATAGATATAAGCATGAAATGAATTATTTGAGTGTATTTTCATAATCTCTATCAAATTTTCTATCCTTTCTCTCTTGGTTTTCTTCTTTCTCTGAGTAGTCTATTTCTTTCTCCCTTAAACCCCTCTGTTTCTCTCTTTCTCTTTCTCATAAACCCTAATTATTTATCTTCATAGAAGCAAACCATGTATCAAGTTCGTAACACGTGACTTCTTTTAACATTAATTTCAAACCATCCGTAACTTTATAAACATCTTTCTCCGTAAAGACTTTTTTGGCCTATGTAAACTACAACAATTTGCAAGAGGGAAAATCAATGAAGGAGGAGACTTAAGTTACAACAATGACCAAGGGGATCATTATCAAAGAGGGTGCAACAACATACTCAATGAACTGGGTGACGCAAAGAGACAACAAGAGTTAATGTTTAGAAATTTGAGGGCTCTGTGTGTTTGCAGAGGTTCAAAGATTCTTGTCATAATGAATTTTGAAATGTACCAATCATGTGTCATGCATTTAAAAACATCATTTGTTACTTGTACATGAAGTTATGGAAAGTCATCTTTAGCTCATTTTTTGGATCAATGGATTGGGGACATGAACAAATTTTGAAAGTAGAAAACTTTATCAAAAGAAATTTTTTTTTCTTTATAAACAAATTCTCAGAATAATTTGATTACACGTTCTCCAGCCTACAAAAATAATGCTAACTTCAACATCTTGGAGGAGATCATACTGCTTTCTTTTTTACAGGAATATTGAAAGAACTACCAAATGATAATATGAAACTGATTTATACAGAATCAAATCATGATATGATACTGATTTATACAAAAATCATTTGTTTTGTGGAACATTTGGGTATGGACGATTAAATGCAGAATTCATTTGCCAGACTCTGAGAGAGGCATTAATGCTGACGTCGGTGGCATTGTTGAACAAGAAGATTCTAGCAGCTCCATAAATTGCCCTTGTTGGATAAACCCTTGATGTAATGGCAGACCTCCCTCCCTGTGCAAAGCTTTCAACTATTGAATGATCCACCTGCACATTTTCATATTTTTGCATTTATGTTTAATTTGAATTATCCAAAGAAAATACAGATAAAATGGAAAATCTAGCTCAACTTACCAGTATTCTTACAGACAGCTTTTCACCTTCTAGTACTG